AAGGAAAATAAATGGAAAAAGAGGGAAACAGCCGGCGAAATATGAAAGTCGGCCGTCGTTTATGACAAGCGCGGCGGCTAAAATCAAAGTCGCTGGCTGCTCACCCGACTCCCTATCGCGAACTTTCCCCTCTCTCTCCCCCTCTCTCTCTCTCTATTCCGCACTCCCCCACCTGTGGGCCGTCGTAAAGGTGTTTTTTATTATTAGATTTCTACCAACTCATTCTGTTTTTGCGACATTTTCGAGGCCCTTATCAAAATACGGGGTTGGCTCCGTTTATTACCATACGGCAAACAGCGACACGCAATCGCTCTGGGGATGGGATTGGAGATGGGAAAAGGGGTGGGGGTGGTAGAGGGGGTGGGACGATATGATGGCGACTGCCGCTCGGATCGATAAGAGCCGGCAACCCGGAGAATACGGAATGGGGAGCCTTCAGGTAGCTGACAGCCCACAAAGCGCCGCTATCGAACGGGGAGGAGCCTCGCAATGAGTCACAATTCGTGTGGAAAGTTGGAGGAAAAGAACAGAATATTGTACAAGGAATCACTGAAGTTGTATTGTTTTCAATACAATCAATGTTAGTTAATAACTAAGTTCATGAGTTCTGAACTTAAAAATAAATCTTTAGTTGGTTACATGGTTTTTCGAACTTTGTAGAACCATCAACCACATTCAGAAACCCTTTCCCGTAACGAAACTTTCCCAACCCGTCAAAGGATTAATCTAATTATTTTGGCAAATAGAGTGCAATCCTTTCGGGGAGTTGCTCACCAAAAACCGAACTCAGCCCTAAACCCTTTGGATTCGCTACAGGAATTCGCAGGTTTGTTTGGGGGGAGTTGCCTCTGCCGGCACTAATATGACCAGAGAAGTCAACTGCCCTCGGGATCAATCTAATTATTTTGCCAAATAAAGTGCAACCCTTCTGCGGATCAACCCTTCCTGAATTCGCCACACTGCGAAATCCAACAAGGCCACACACACGAATACTTCGAATGCGAAACCGAATACCCTTCCAAGCTCACTAATCCTGCGCGCTACTCCTTTTGTCTTCTTCTTCTTCCTCTTCGGCACAGGTACGATGGTCGTGCGTGAGCTGGAAGGACTCTGCATGGAAGTTCATCCTTTGGGAAGGAGTAAGAGTGCGTCGCGCCCACCGCAAGGCGAGAGACAATGGCCCGAAGCCAAAGTGCATCCAGTTCAGGGTAACGTTTAGGGTTAGGACTCGAGGACCAGGACCAGGAACAGGGTTTTACGACCCAATAGCTACGACTAACCCAAGATGGTACCGAACAGGCTACCTGGGCATCGACTACCCGTCCACACCCCTTTAATTACGCCAGTAAAGGGTACACCCCTTTTCCCCTGAGAGACAGGGGACGTGTTTTGGTTTTGGTCGTGACAACTTATGGTCGCCGTGTCCTTGGGTTTACGATTCGCGATTCACGGAGTCGCGGGCGTGACGCGTTTATGGTGTTTAGATACTTTTCGCAAGCAATCCGCATCCGAATCCGAATCCGAGTCCGCATCTGAATCGCAACAATGCGCATGCACCCGTCCCTCGGCAGCCTTGACTCCTGGGCACAGCCCTTCGCGACATTTACCTAATTATCAGGCGAATCCCAAGGCTGCCGTGGAACAGTTTCAGTTTTAGCGGCTTTTTGGCGTTTTGCCGGGGAAATCGAGCCTGCTTCTCGAGTGGTTGTTGTTGCCCGCTTCGCTGGAAGCGTTTCCAATAACTGAAATTGTTTTTTCCTTCGCCTTTTCCACTCGCACTCGCTCTGTTTTTGCCATGAAATCGCAAATTGCCTTTCGGCTGAGCCTTGAACCGAGGCTTTTGGCTCTGCCATCTCAACTTGGGCCTGAGAAAATTGTGCTGCATCTCTGCAACCCCTCCCAGCTGGAAAAATTATATTAAATTGCTCCTAGAGATGGTTTTTTATTCAAGCCGAAGAAAATGGCGTCTGGAATTCAGAGAAGAAAACAATGTTTAGGCGCAACTTCTTTCAGTAGCTTCAGGAAGTTAGATTCCCCGGAAAATGCGATAGATTTCCCTACAAGTGAAGGTCATCGCATCCAGCATTTCCATCATTTTTTCCGCTGCCAACAAAAAGTGATTTTGGTGGAAAGGCAAAACCTCCGGCATATGGCCCACTAAAAAGTCATTTAGCAATTTAACAATTATTGCCCATGACTGCGACTTTGACATTTCTGCTCTAAAAAATCTAATTTTATTCGTGGAAACACGAAAAAATTCCATAAAATATGCACGGCCCAAAAAAAGCAGACCAAAGACAAAGAGAGCGGACCAAAAAATCACGAAGAACGAAGAACGTTGCTGAAAACCGGGTCAGAGTCAGAAATCTCGGAGTCAAAAACCAAGGGTCTTCTGCGAAGTGTCTCTGGGCGATTTTATGATGCCGAAGAAGCGACTAAGTAAGTTGTCATTTTCGGTTTATGGTGATTTTGTGCCGATGATTTTTTGCTCTCGTTGTTATATTTTTTACGCTCTACATTCACCATTTCGATGTTTTTTTCTTCGCAGAGCAGAGATCCTGCTGAACAATGGCAGGCTACTAATGTCGAGCAGGCCGAGAGTTTTATAGTTTTTTATGGCTTTATGGCCGAGCCAATGACTTCTTTATTGGTGCAGGTCCTTGGCCCGCAGTTCCAGGTCTTCCCTACTTTTTATGGCCATCTTTCCGACTTTTCCTATCCGAGGGATAGAGAAATCGGTTTCCGTTTCCGTGAGGTTGGAGGATCCGAGCGATCCTGGTTCCACATGCAAATAGCTGGACATGTGTTTCCCCAGAGAGCTAATCCTTTTGGCCATGTGTTGACAACAACAACAATAGCAACAACAACGAGAAGAGGGAAAATATTAGCTTGGACAACAAACGCCGTGGCAGGAAGTCAGCCAGTGCGATGCCATCCATATATCCATATACGCCATATATCACGGGCTGGGAAACATCGGCCTGTGTCTTTCATGTGTCTCCACTCCGCCGTGTTTATCTATTTATTTATTTATTTGCCTTTGTACACTTATGACATGATGTTAATTACCGCTCGCGACTCCGAATGGAAAGAGGGAAAGGGTGGAAGGGGGAAAGGGGCGGAGTCCCACGCTGGCCGCTTTGAAATGGAAAAGTTCGCCGCCTGTTTGCCAACCGACAAACAACCAACAAGCCAACAAACCAACAACCGTCAACTGTCAACAGCGGCGACAATTGCCAAAGCTGCCAGCCGCTGGATCCGTCGGCACATCCGATGTTTGAGCGGCTCGAGAGTCCGGATCCGGCCAACACGGCACTCCGCCGGACACACGCACTCCGGGAAAATCCGGCAGGACCTATTGACTCAGCCCGTTTGATGATCTGCGACTCTCCGCCGCGCGGGAAAGTTTGGCTGCGTTCTGTGTCAATATTGCTCAACCTAATCCCCCAAAGTCAGTCCTCCAAGTGTCGCAATGGGTCCTCGAAATCCCCGATCCTGATCCGGGTAAAACCAATCAGCGGGAATGTTTCTTGTTTTGCCAAGTTAAAGGATTAGCCGCAGATCCTTTGCGGAAACGCATCGCCACGAGAGTCGACAAGTCAAAGTCATGGGAAAGTACTGAAATCGGAAGCAGGATAATGCGATGTTGAGTTCCCTTGTTTTTTAACATTAGGAAATATTTTTAATTTGAGGAAAGTCCAGCTGGATTTAATTCGGAGGCAGAAATACATAAGTATTATTGAGGAAAAATCAATCTTCCTTTGAGAAAAAATTAAAGAAAATTCATAATTGTATATTTCTCCCTTCAATATACTTTTACAAAATTATTTATAAAATGCACCTGCCTGGTCGATTCAATTTCAGCTTGTTAGATAATTACACGACTAAGAAGCGTGAAACATTTTAAACGTGGAACTCATTAAAGATGATTTAACAAGTTCTCGCGCTTCAGTTGCAAAAGGTAAAACTTTACTGCCGTGAAAAATGTTATTATGAAATGTGAAGTGAAAATGGTAATTGCCCAAAGCCCCTCTAAATCATAATTAGTTGTTTTGTCTATCTAATTTTACATAAACTATTCTGAGTGAATGAATGCCCAAAGAGATTCGTATTTCCAAACTATCGCTACAATTTACCGCGGAAATTACGTTAGCCAAACGTTGCAATTTTAATTTGCTGTAAAATATGTCCGGCACATCCTGCCGGAAACCCTTTTAAAAACCAATCAATTTTCGCTACAAACGGCCCCCTCCGCCCACTCGAAAGTTTTATCTCAGTCGCTTTGAAGCGGCTAATTGAATTCCAGATTAAAGTGTAAGCCGAAATGGGGGAATAAAAAAGCTGATTTGTGTTGCAAATTAAAATTTAAGTGAAAACGAATCAGGCGCAAACACAGGCGGGCACAATAGATTACAATATCCCGGGGCGCAGACAGCAGGACATTAAAAAGGGCAAAAGGGAGGAGGTGGAGTGGAGTGGCAGGACATGCCAGGACACCCAGGACACCCAGGACACCCAGGACCTTCGTGCAGCTGCTGATTGTGATGGCACATGCGCCTGGGAGGGATCGGGATTGGGATTGGGATGCGGGCTGCTCCGGAGCGATGGCTGCCCGCCATCAGCAGCAGCAGCTACAGCGGCAGCAGCAAGCAGCAGCAGCAGCAGCAGTTGCAACTACGGCAGCAACATCGGCAGCAGCGGCAGCAACACCAACAATATCGCAGGCTTGCGACCGTCAGGCCAACGGTTTCCGCTTGCTTGCCGCTCGAGCGGATACAGCTACGGATACAGATACAGATACATCCACACTCACGAAAGATAGATGGGCCAGGCAGCCAATCCGAGAGCGGCAGGTAGGCGTGGACTGTCTGCCATTTCCCGATAACTTCAACCCCGCCACAGGCAGCTGCCGTTGGTCGGACCGTACCGCTCCCGTCCCGCTCGCCGGCAACCCTCCTCCGCACTTCTCGCCGGGTTCAAAAACGGGTCGGCGCTCCGGCAGTTGCAGTCAGTTATTAGCGAGCGCTACTCCCAGCAACAGCAACACCGCTCAGCAGCAACAGCAACACAAACCACTCAAAGGAGCGACAGAGACAGGGATACACACTCCACTCGCCCCGTTTCGCTTCGATTTTCAACTGTTTGAGTCGGAGAGCGGCGAACGGCCAACGAATTCAGTTTGTGTCGAGACGTCGTCGGTGGCACGTCGCAACCAAAAGAACGCTCAGTTGAAGGCGAAAAGAAAAGATACAGATACACAGATACAGATACAGATACAGAGTGCCAGACCAAAGTGAACCGCGAACAGCAAACGCAACACAGCACAGCCAAAACCAAATAGACAAGCCGGGCCAAAACAGACAGTATAATGTCTTCCACTTCGGCCTCGCCCATCAGCAACATCACCGTGGACGACGAGCTCAACCTGAGCAGAGAACAAGGTGCGTTTCAGATACAGTTCAGATTGGGTTAATACCGACGGCTAAACGGATTACTAGCTTTGGTTTTAAAAAGAATATTTTCATAGATCAAAATGCCAAAAAATACATTCCTAAATGGATATATAAATATATTATCAATTCAGTTCAAAGATTTAAATCTTATTTTGCATCTTGAATTCCCTTTAAATATTTACTTCCAACACCAACTAATTTCCCCCCTCATTTTCTCTACCTTTTTAGACTTTGCCGAGGAGGACTTCATAGTGATCAAGGAGGAGCGCGAGACGAGTCTCTCGCCGATGCTGACGCCCCCGCACACGCCCACCGAGGAGCCGCTGCGGCGAGTGCATCCGGCGATCAGCGAGGAGGCGGTGGCCACCCAGCTGCACATGCGGCACATGGCCCACTACCAGCAGCAGCAGCAGCAGCAACAGCAGCAGCAGCAGCAACACCGCCTCTGGCTGCAGATGCAGCAGCAGCAGCAGCATCCTGCCCCACAGCAGTACCCCGTCTACCCGGGAGCCACCGCCGATCCCGTGGCGGTGCACCAGCAGCTGATGAACCACTGGATCCGCAACGCAGCCATCTACCAGCAGCACCACCAGCAGCAGCAGCAGCACCCGCACCACCACCACCACCCGCACCACCCACACTCCCACTCGCACTCGCACCCCCACTCGCATCCGCACCACGTGCGTCCCTACCCCGCCGGCCTCCACGGACTCCACGCGGCGGTGGTGGGGCGGCACTTCGGGGCGATGCCCGCGCTGAAGCTGGGAGCCGCCACCAGCAGTCCCGGAGGCGCCACCGGCAGCAGCCGCCCCAAGAAGCAGTTCATCTGCAAGTACTGCAACCGGCAGTTCACCAAGTCCTACAACCTGCTCATCCACGAGCGGACGCACACGGACGAGCGGCCCTACTCCTGCGACATCTGCGGCAAGGCCTTCCGGCGGCAGGATCATCTGAGGGACCACCGGTACATCCACTCCAAGGACAAGCCCTTCAAATGCAGCGACTGCGGCAAGGGCTTCTGCCAGTCGCGCACGCTGGCCGTGCACAAGGTGACCCACCTGGAGGAGGGTCCCCACAAGTGCCCCATCTGCCAGCGGAGCTTCAACCAGCGGGCCAACCTGAAGAGCCATCTGCAGAGCCACAGCGAGCAGGGCGCCAAGGAGGTGGCCTCCAGTTCGAGCTCCTCCTCGGTGGTGGTGCCAAGCCAGGCATTGAGTTCGCCTCAACCTGAGAACTTGGCCCAGCACCTGCCAGTGTTGGACCTCTCCTCCTCCTCCGCCTCGTCAGCCTCCTCCGCGGGATCCTCGGAGAAGCCCAAGCGAACGCTGGGCTTCACCATCGACGAGATCATGAGCAGATAGACTGGAGCCGCCCCATCCGAACCTGGTTTCGAGTTCCAGAATCAGAGATTCAGACAGCCCCGCCAGGCATGGGAAGTGCCTGGATTGGAGAGTCAGCCGCGTCCTGGCCGAGTGGCAAGTGGAGCAGTTGGCCAGTCGCCTTTGCAACCCAGTGAGCAGCCGAGTCATCCTCCGTGCAATCGGTTCTATATAGCCAGCGGATATAGCAACCCCATTGCGCCGAACCAATGCCAAAGCCAAGTAGCAGAGCAAACTGATGAGAAACTAGAGAAGAAGAAGTATTGATAGCACAGCCTCCTACAAAACAATTCCAAATCACACACACAAACAACTGTAAACTATATAGTATAATAAATCGTATAACTGTATGTTAATGTACCTTATAGTCGTAGTAGCAACCCATTCAGTTCGTAGCGCTTAGGGAGTACTATACACCAAATGTTATGTTACAATAGTTCAATCGAGCAAACCTCAGACCCGCTTTGGTTATTGAAAGACTGTTTTAATTATTATTACTATAACTTATAACTTATGCTGAATAAATCAATCGATGGATTGTGTAATGTTAACCCCGACGAGTGTCATGATTGCTAGCTGTTTAGATTGTCGCTATAGCCTATAGCCAGTGTGACTCAGCACAAAGATACAACGATCTCAATGTCGCCTACACCTGTAGTCTGTATATACTAGCTACTAAATATTCCTACTGATATGAAGTTATCGCGAAATCCTTAAATATAAACGGAGATAATATTCAACTGAAATTTCAAAGGCTTGTTACTATCGCGGGGATTTGGGGTTCCTGGGTACTTGATAAGGAAAATATGGCTTTGATTTATCAACGAAATATTCTTGGTAAAAATGGCTGATAATGCAGCCTTTTGGTTTGGTAAAAAGGTTTGCAAAAACCATTACTGTCTAGATAAAATATTTACTACTTCTCAGGAGACCTGTTTTTATTTAGTTACCTAAGCCCAAATAACGCCTAACAGATTTTGATCTACTTTTAATAAACATCTCTTTTAACTGCCCCACTCCCACTCCTTCCTGAATTTTTCTCATGCTGCGAACATAATTCATTTGGCCAATTCCTATGACCATACAAGTTCAACTATCAAACAGCAGCTGTCAAAATTTATTAACCATTGGAATATAACTCAGTTTTTATGCAGATCTCGGCTCGCGCATTTTAAATCAGCTCTATTAATTTCGGGTTGCCGATTAAGTAAGCAGAAGTCTCGCCACCAAAAATATTCAAACTGTCGCACAAGTTAATTTATGAAATCGCATCGAGTTGAGTTTGATGTCAGTTTTGCTACGGTTTTGTCTTGACTCGGTTTCAATTTCGGTATTGACGGGGTATTGTTCAACTTTGAGGTGTGGTCCAAATATTTATGGCCTGTGGCTTCAGTTTTAGTTTAGTTTCCATTGTGGCTTCTTTCGAAATTCGGGAACGTGCCAAATGTCTTGCGAACTACGATAGGCGAGGGTTTCTTTAATGGGGATTTTCCTCTATCGATTTCCCTCCGGCAACTGCATTTCTCCTAGCACGCTCCTTACTCGGAACTGTCAACTTTAGATTGTGATCTTTGTCTCGAAATCGACCATAGGATTGTCTTTAATTGAGGCCTGAGGTCACCCCTGGAGAACCCGCATGAAGGGTCCGCATCTGCCTCATTTCCTGCTCGATTTCCAATTTCCATTGCCATTTCCATTACCATTTTCTCCACTTTGATGACATACTCTCGTTCCTTTGACCATGCACAATTGACTTTGTCTTGGCTTTGATTTCGCATTGTCTTCGGGGCCAAAAAGTGCCAACGTATTCGCCAATTGACGTCTACATAAGGTGCCCTTTTTGCAGGATTTACTCCTGACAAGTATCCTGGACGCGCCCCTGCATACATGTCCTGCTGGCTTTGGCCAAAACCCAAACCCAATCCCAAACCCAAACGCAAACCTGGCCTTATCTACGGACTTGGTCGGGTGGTCAACCGTAGGACTTGCGCCCCGTGTTTTGCAACACCTCGCCGCAGGAAGTCTCTCGGGTCGAGGATCTGGGCTACAGGATCTAGGTGTCTAGGCGTGTAGGTGTGTAGGTGTCCTGGCATTCGACACACCTCGTCCATAATTGCACTGCGTACAACCAAAATATTTTGTGAAAGTCGCAGCGGGCGGCCAAGTTGTCCCGACCAGATTGATATGTGTCCGCATGGGGTTGTGTGTCCTTTTTGGCGATGGCCACAATTTGGGCTATCGGTTCCGCCACTAGGGTGGCCTCGGTGCGCATCCTGTGGATGTCCTGCCATTGTGGGCTCTAGTGGCTGGACGTGCTGGAAAGTCGCCTGCCAAAAGTGAGCCATTTACTGCCGCAGGGGCAGTCTCCTCCTCTCAATTCGCTCCTACCGAGCGTGCAGTTTAATGAGCTGCCTGGGGAAAAAGGATGTCCCAGAGGGACTGCCCTCTGTTCGGGACACGTTCGCACTTGGCCTTGTGCGATCGATGGATCGACAGACGACCAGACCACCCAGTAACCCAGAAATGAAGTTGTGAGCCGAGTCGTTCAATTAAAACGTTGCAAATCAATTTGGAATCGAGTCGAATCGAGGACACGCTTAAAATGGCCGTTGACAGAAACACTCATAGATGATGATGACAGCATTACCGCAGCCACATAACTCGAACTCGAAAGCACCTTAGACTTCACCAAAGTCGTCGAGTGAGCCAAGAGCCAAGAGCCAAGCCCAAAATTGCGCGGGGGAAGCAGAAAGAAAACGCAGACGAACAAAACTTGTCTCTCGTAATTGTACATTGTTCAGATTGTCAGCTGGGGAAGTGGTTTTTGATATGCCGACATCGCAACGCCTTTTGGCCCAAAGCCACAGCCAGAGCCATCGCACTGCCACTTCAGCGAATTATGTATTGTGATTTGAGCCCAGCCAGGAAAAACATAATTCGAATTACTTGGCTTAAAATAACATTAGGTTGGCTTAAGTTCGGTATAAATTTATCCATATATTATTTCTATTAGTTTCCATAACAAATAGAACATTAGTCATCTCCCTGAAATGTTTCCAAATAATTGAACAATAAACATTTGAAGTGAAAGAAGTCACAATGACTCATGGCGGGTTCTTATCGAAACATTGTACGTACACAAGTACTTGCGTGAAAAGCACTTGTGGAAAAGCACTTGGTTCCCATCCACCCTGCTCAGGCCCCCGTATTGTTTTAACCCCTTTTCAGCCACGTCCCTGCCTTGCAGCACAACACTTGATAGTTGCAGCAATGTTGACTCGGCGCACAGTAGTCGCATGTGTCACAATGTCGCAGCCTAATTGCACTACACGCGTAGTTACTTAGGCAACTCTTTCCCTCGGAAAACCCGGCTGACAAGCCCACTTCCACGCCACAGACGACGGCACTAGAATCGGCGGGGAGATACCCAGATACTGCGATACCCCGGTACTCAGATACTCGAATACTCGAATACCCAGATACCCGACAAAAAACCAACGACGAGCAGAGTTAAATTTCCAGCGCACTGGGTGTTCGTTTTTATGGTCGTCACCACTATCGATCGGCTATTTTGACACTTTTGTTTTGCCTAAGAAGGTGTTTTAAATATAACTTACTTAGGCCCGAACAAATCTTAACTGACCATTACGAAAGCAACTGTCTGGGATTGGACACTGAGGGAAATAACGAATGGAAAATATGAATGGAAAGGAAAATCACTTTAAGGGTAGTACTATCCATTGCTTACGTTTCAACTTGTTGGTATTAAAATTCCAATATTAAGTAAATGGGATATAAGAAGTACAATACAAATAAAATATAAGAAATGTTATATATTTTATTTTAAGATTTATGAACATCTTGTTTTTATATCTAATCTTATGTTAAGATCTTAATAAACTGTTTCCGCTTCAAAATCGTTCCTTTGTTTAGAAACCAATATTTTTTCCGAGTGCGCCTCTAACAATTTAATCGACTGAGGCTGTTTTTCTGCCCCGACTTTTCCGCCTTATCGAGGTGGCTCAATCTCCCCGAGTCGGTGCATTAATTGACACCTAGAATGGAAAACGAAACCGGAGAAGGAGAACCCCGATCTTAGAGCCCAGAACCCTGGAGACAGGGGACTGTGCTGTCAATTAGGTTGCTGAATTTATCGCCGGGCACAAATCAGTTTGGGAAATTTGTTAGCCCCGAAAATAAAGTTGGCCGGGCTAAGAGAGCGATCAATTTTATAGACAGACGCCTCGCGGGCACGGAGGTCCACGGAGGTCCAGCTCACTTAATATAGAGTTTGGGATGGCCCCCTCCTCCCAGTGGGAACCTAATTGAATTGCCAGGGAAGAAACCACAGATAAAGGTGGAAACACCTCGGTATCAAGTTAGTTAGTGCGACTCGGGGCCATCTTCCTCGCCTTGACAACTCTTTTGTTTGTTATGGCTGCCTTTTCACTTGTTCTCCTCCGTTTGTCCGTCTGTCCGTTTGTCCGCTTGTCCGTTGTCCGTTTGTCCGCTGTCCGTTTTATTTTTTATTATTTCACTGCCCGTTCTTTGACACTTTAATGCGCCCGCTGGCTTTTGTGATGCGAGCCTCTGATGGAGGCCACACAACAGCCACAACAGCCGAATAACAGGCCAATGGTGTGATGGCCATAATCCGATATAAATAAGACATTATAAGAGGCTCCCCCTCCAGCGGAGCACCTAAGCAGGATCTTCTGCGGGCCTGGGAATGGGTTCCCGTTCCCACTGCCGGATTACAAGGAATCGACGACATGTGGCGCTCAAAGCTCTTATTTATTTGAGCGGAGCAAATGACTGGACCGAGTGACTCCGATCGATTGACTCATGGACCACCTAACTAGATAGAGCTCTCCATTTCAGCTCGTTATGTCCTCCCATCATTCATCCTGAAGTCATTGGGATAATTCGATTGCGAAAAGTGAAAACAAAGGTGTCAGGGGAATAGTTGAAAAAATAATGCAATTTAATAAAATAATTTAAAATCAGTAAGGAATAATAATAATCTTTTTTGAAATAAAAACATTTTGATACTTGATCATCATAAATTAAACTCCAATAAATGAATGTAATCACTTAGGTTTCCCTTTCAGAGGAGACCTACGCTCCTGGTGATCTGCTCCCAGCGCTGATCGATTGATTTCATCGATTATGGCACAACAGTCAACAGAGTGGATCTCGGCCTGGTCGGAATGTTTATTTGTTTGTGGCTCGCACGCAAACAACGCGGATCGCCAAGGGAAGCGGACAAAACACATGATCAATTACAAGCCGGGCAGGTTCCCCTGGCTCCCCCGATCCGCTGATCCTCTGATCTCTGGTTCCAAGTTCC